ATAATAATAATAATAATAATGATAATAATAATAATAATAATAATAATAATAATAATAATAACAGTGATAATAGTAGCAATAATGATAATAATAATGATGATAATAATAGTAATAATAATAACGGTGGTAATAACAACAATAATAATAATCAACTGTTTCTTTATTTCATCCCTCTTGAAATAAAGTTATATATGATAGTAAAAATAATAATAATGTATAAATGATTAAGTGGGCAACTGGAAAACAACGACATGGCGCAAAAATTGAACGGGTTCATGTCCAGTTCAAATCAAACATACAATTCAGATATGTTTTGTGGCAGTTTGTATTATCCTTTCAGCTTCATTGACTGATGGCCTAAGTGTAAACGTTTCCATTTTAAAAATTCGCGACCAGTTATGGTTTTTTCTTCATCAAAATTATTGCGGCTAGCTTAATAAACTTACTAAATTAATAGCATATCACAGATATCACTTTTTGCAACATTAAAGCCCAGTTTGTTTCAGTTGGATGCAATTTTTTGTGCATTTTCAGAGCGATCAGTTGCCAAGAACTTTTGGAGCACTGGCTAGCTTGTGGTATCAGTATTGAACAAGGGCTTTACGTCTTGAAAGTAATCTTATCATTTTTCACATACTTTCCCCCCAAAAGATCTCAACTAAAATTTGCTTGCTGTTGTTGCAGCATTCCGGACAACCGTTGGAAGGAACAGTCAGTGCCGTTTCTCTGAGTGGCAGCTTGGAGCGGGAATTAGGCAATTTAGCGGCCGCGCCAACCGCCTCCATTGTTATTCGTGTTGCCTTGCTTTCGCTTCATGCTTACATCGATCATTTACGGTACGTTGTTTTTCCTGTTTAGGAATCGTTCCAAAGGTCGTCAGGACTGTCTCTGCCCCGTTGTTGCCGAGATGCACCAGTGTGCGGGACCCTTTTGTTCTGAAAGTTTCCAGTTTGCACCTACTGTCTCCGCTCTATACCCGCCTCATCTCTGCGGAGTTCAGTAGGGCGGTTGTTTGTTCGCGCGTTTTCATCTACTAATAGATTACGGCTGCCGACTACCCACAATAAAGCATTCGCATCAAGTGTTTTTCAAAAAAAAAACCCTTTTTTTGCATCAACAAAAGACGTTTCATTAATGGCCTGACAATGTGCAAAACGTTAGAATTATCTGTTAAAAAGACACAGTCTCGCCCACGTAAGATTGTACTTCAGCCACTCGTGAAAGCGTAAAAGCTTGCCATTCTGAGCAATTTACTAAGGCCCGTAACCTTTATGCAACCATTGTCATTGAGCTGTTCTTTTAATTTACCACCGTCGTTCTTGTTATTGTTCAGAATTCAAGGAGAGCATACTGGTATTTGGGGCACTGAGTGTGTTTTGGGCCTTATATGATGATGTGAACTGAATAGAACTTGGTATAGTAATGAAATGCGTCTCTTCGCCGGCCCATGCGGCTGGTTGTCACCAGGCTGTTGTCCTTATGTGCTGCCTTTTTCTTGTTATTCTTCAAAATTCAACGAGAGCATAAAACCCTAAAGTAACCAATGGAAATATTATTTCCTCTACAGTTTGTTGATTCCTTTCAATGGTAGATTGGTACTAATATGCCTTAGCGTGCAGGGGATTCAGACCGCTTTCAGTTTTTCCTCAATTAGCCGGGTTCCTTTTAATTGCTGACGCGCTGTAGTTGCATACGCTAAAGCGCAATTATACGGAGAAGAAGGCATGCCAGTAAGTTTAGGGCATCGGAAATAAGTAATGTATTTGCAGATGCTCATTGAAGGAGGCTGAATTGCGTGCCGAGCATTTTTACAAGCAGTTTCAGCTGGCTAATCAAAGGCATATTGTCCTCATTGAAGAACTCGAACAGAATCAGCTCTCCATTGAACAGGCGTATGAGAAGCGGCTCAGGTTTGTGCTGAGTGTGAAATTTTTGCCTTGTTTGGCCCAAACTGTTAATGTGAAACTCCACGTGTCTGTATTTCTGGAAGCAGCTATGCCATTTTATTTTTTCCTTAGCTACATATGCCCAGCTTGTAACCTAGACCTCTGTTATTTACACCATCTTTTTGAAACCTGTACATTTGATTGTTTCCTTTTTTGTTGGTTCTATTCACTGATGCATAAAGTGACCTACGTTAGCTGAGTGGTACGTCTGAATTTGGTTGGCGGTAGAAATAAATGAAGTCATTCATCCGCTCTGGGATCTTGGAATTGTGAGTGGATGTAGTGGGAATACTGTGCTGTATATTTATATCGCCGGCAGGCATGCCGCAGTGGATAGCACTGTTGTCGTGCAGTAGTTCGAAGGCGGGGATAGCTAGCCCCTTTGCGATTTATTTATTCGTTTCGATGGTGAGTAGTTACTGGCATGTGTGAGAGAGCCAAACCCGCCATCAGCTTGCTTGTAAGCAACCCTCGAAGGTGGGAGCCATCGAAGCTAGTTGGCTAGTCGGTAGTTGCTTTTGGCATCCGCTACCACTCCGGCTACTCAGCATGTGTTAATGAAAGCGTGCATCGCATCCATATCTAAACAAAAGAATAGAAAGAGCTAAACACATGTGTGAGGGTGGGCGTGCAAAATCAAATACCAATCAAATGAATTTTTTGAAAATCATGGTAGGCTGGCTCGTTTCAAACTAAATTTTTTGGAAAGCGATTTTGAATTTTTAGGGAAATCAAACGACCCTGCTGCTATTACGATAAAATAATCGATGAACTTCCGCGAGCATTTTGGCATACCTTGTTGGTGGGGAAAATTGATTTTATCATGAAAACAACTAATCGGCCAAAACGAGCCGTACATTTCTGGAATATGTGGATGCTCACAAATAAGAAAATTGATCCTTTCCTTCTGCATAGAAAAAATATCGTAATTTCATCAAGTCTCAGACTGCTCGGTTTCCAGGGATTCAGAGGAACGTTACCGTACTAGAATGAAGCAGATGGAGGAACGTTTTGCACAAGAAAAGCGGGAACTTTTAAATGAGCTGGATAAGGTAATATTTCGATAAATTCAGTCATTGGGATTTGTCATTTAATTTGAAAAACTCTTTGCTTAGGTTACCACGACCGCCCAGGTAGTCAGTGTAGGCATTCAGTGGTGTTACTAGGATATCTTCGCACTCTCAACGCAAAAATGCTAAACCTTTCAATTCTGGGCTGAATACCTCCAGCTAAGTTCGATAGTGTGTGCTGTCTTTCGGAGACGGCCCGAATGGTCGTTCATCTCGTCTATAACGAAGAATCACCCCAGGCATTTTTCACTTTACTGCTGTCTTCACAGCTTACATTCATTTTTATGCGTTTTTTGCAGCAATGCAGTGCGAAAAACGCATATTGACGAGAGGTTGTCTGTGTGTCCGTGTGTGCATCTGTCACGGTTTTTCATTTCAAGAACTACAAAAGCTACGGGGCTGAAATTTTGGGGACTTAATCTACATGCACGTACGGGCCCTAATCCGCCAGAACCCGCGTGGTACCCGCGTGCGGGCTCCCCAAAGTTTTTTTGGGGTCAGTTCATAACTCGAGGATCTGAGAAGCTAGAAGGCTGAA